CAACATGCATTTCAACTCTATCACATATATTAGACATACAAGTAAAGAAATCCAAGTAAACAAATCCAATTAAATAAGAATCAATACCCTTTTACAGTTACTAAAAGAAACTTTTGTTTTTACCCGNTTTTCAAAATGCAACCCAACATGCATTTCAACTCTATCACATATATTAGACATACAAGTAAAGAAATCCAAGTAAACAAATCCAATTAAATAAGAATCAATACCCTTATTCTTCTATATAATGAACTTTGGTAAATTTGCAAAACCATGATGTACTCTCGTCCCAAAATGATGTGACTAATTGCATTTTGAGGCTGTTAAGGATGGCATGTGGTTGGTCTCCTTGAAAACAATTAGTGTGGATCACCCTTTGACGAAATTATTATGCCAATGCATGTCAAAATAACAAACCTCTTTAACACCCCGTGAACTCTCATGCAATAAGTATCAACATAGCCATGTACAAATAGAAGACAAAATCATCGAGAAAGCAGCTCCTGAGTCTTATTTGCAATATACTGTGTAAGAAAAGGCTCTCAGCCAAGTAATCTACTATAACCACTGTCTTATTCCTCAAGCAATACAAATCTTTAGGAGAAAGAGCTCCCATTTCAGTGGATGTAACATTAATCTTTCGGTTAGTTNCTCAAGCAATACAAATCTTTAGGAGAAAGAGCTCCCATTTCAGTGGATGTAACATTAGTCTTTCGGTTAGGATGAACCACTTATATTTTATTCTTTGATCTAACATCGACACTTATTTTCTTATCATCCCAAAATCAACGAAGCCCCCATTGAGCCTCATATAGTCATCGTTCTACAAGTGGGTATAGTAATTTCAAGCACCATAAAGAGCTATGCTAGAATCACACGACATTGCTAAATCTTGGCCGCACAATTCTCATTAAATAATTGTAATCGTTTCAACTTCACTCTCTTATGTTCGAACAAACTCTAAAGTGTTGGATCGAAAAATACCAAATAGAAATCATTTATTTATCTCAGTAATGAGAAAATAGTGAGTCGCCATGAGGCCACGAGTTATACTCAGGCGGATGTGTGATTGAAACCAAAGCCCAAACATGTAAAATCACTTGGACTAAATTCGAATGGTGGTCTAGTGATGACAGGTATGAGATGTAAATTCGGTCATTTTAAATTTGAAACTAGACAATTTCTTTGAACGTCAGACTATGAGAGAAATATCCTTCATAAATTCTCTTAGTCTCAGCGTGGATAGTTTGCTTTTGAGCAGACAGGGAAGAGATTAGTTAAAATGCGCGTAAACTAACATGTACCCCCTAACAGGAATACTAAAAAAAAATGTACTATGTTTCTAAACTTCACTTAGGAGGTATTGAGCTAATGCTTTTCTTTCTTTGGAACTTGTCACATATCTACATTAATAAAACAATACTTCCTATTTGAATTACTTAAGCTCCTCGGTTAAAAAAATACAACAACGACCCAGATTGTTTTGATCCGACAATTTATATCTTTTAACCTTTTAACTATAGTAACTCATTTAAATTTTAACTTTTAATTTTTCAAATACGATAACTCATTTAAATTTTAACTTTTAATCACAGTAACTTATTTAAATTTTAACTCTTTAATCATATTAACTCATCCCATACATTAGAAAAAAAATGTGTTCTGCACGGGGCACGACTTTTACAAGGCTCTCTAATCGTTTGTGAAATGGTTTTTAGTTAGAAAGATGGTTCGGAATGCTTCCATCTTTCTTTCAATTCCCATGATTATGTGATTGGTTTTGGCTATGTTTTTGCCTCCTCAGTGCACCTTAATATATTTCCTAGTTACGTTTTTCAATTCTTTTATCTACCTTACCACGTGTAAGCAAAAAATTTAACACGAGCGAGACATTAGAATTTATTAGTTACAAAACAACAACACAATAAAGCGTCCCAATTTTATACACGACCCTTATACACCTCTCTACTAATTTTCAATTGAATTTGAGTTAAATGTCTTTACCAGACGAGAGGTATGCCATCTATCTACAATTACTTTTGTATTTTTAGCAATTGATTTAAAAAAATTAGCCTCTCTCAACCACCGAAATTCGAAAGGAAATTTCTTTTATGGTATATGGACCCCCCCCCCCCTTTTTTCCAAAATAACCTCATTTATTAACTACCAAAAAATAAAAAGGAAATTTCTCTCATGGTATATGACCCTCTTTTTTTTTTTCATCAAAATTAACCTCTCTTATTAACCACCAAAAAATAAAAAAAGGAAATTTCTTGGAAGGTGTTAGAGCTAGCAAGGTAGTAGGCCTACACATGTCTTGCGAGTACTAAAATCTATTATTGATGGTAGGTGTACCATCTACATTTACTTGGGGGATATTTTCAAGCAATGAAAGTTGTCTAATTTCTTGCCTCATTATTATTCATTATAAATGTGTTCCTCAAAAATGGGTTGGTGCCACATTGGTCGACCCAAAAGGGTTGTTTGGTAAGGGGGTTTGGAAAGATAGATTTAAAAAAAATAGTCCAAATGACCCCCAAACCCTATGTTTTGATTGAAAATTCAATCCCAGATTCCCAAACCTAACCCGTAGCTGACCCGAAAATTACACTCATGATCATAAGTTTCATCAAACCTATGAGAGGGGAGGGTTTGAGAAGATGAGTTAAGGGATTGAGGATGCAAAAGACAATTATACTCATTAACATGAGTATGAATTAGATTGATCAAGAGTAAAATAGTCATTTATAAGATAAATAGTTGTTAATAACTATAATATATATGTGGGTTATATATGTGTATGTGTTGCATACCAAAGATAGTTATGGACCAAATTTAATGTTGAATCTCATCTTTATAAAAAAAAAATTTGTGTTTGGAAGGATCTATGGAAACCAATTCAAACTCTCCCTAAAAATTCATCCAAACAAGCCCCAACAGTCTAATCTTTAAAGGTTGTGTCAAGCTTTCTTGGTCATGAAAAATTGCATGCTCTATCAATATCAAAAAATAATTTTTCCGACTCGTAGCGTTACAAATGCAACCATCTAGTTAACAGGAATTTTCTTCAATTTGTCGGTGATGTGTGTGTTGTGTGTTGCTACACATGCAATTAGGTTCGGTTGGAGGAATAAACTAAGTCCAAAAAAGGAAAAAAAATACATAATGATGGAACATTATTTGTCAGATGGGTCCACCAGTTCCACTCCTAAAGAAGGAGTATAAATGACTTAACAAATATCACAAGTGAGACCTACTACAATAATTATATGACAGATAATTAGTGTTTTGGCAGGTTAGTCCATGTCTATTTTCCAGCATTGACAGCTGTACAGTACATGATGGTAAGTGACTCTTTAATTTTCTCTATATATATGGGTGAAGACCCAAAGAATAGGGGGTCTCAAGTATGAGCACCTTGGCTCCATACTTCACACACCCACCTATATTATTTTTCTTGTTTATACACTCGCCTACTCCAGTTATTGATTGCGATACTGACTTAGGCATTGGAGGGGCCTCCCATGGCTCAACGTCGGGGATCTCTCTAACCTTTTTCTGCCTTGCAGAGTGATATTCGAAGATTGGGGGCGCACCTTCAACTTTTTCAGTGATTGTGCGGATTTTAGCCCGAGCAATTTGGCGCCGTATGTGGGAAACAAAGCAAAGTATGTCCCCAAAATCCTCGTGTATCACTAGTGTGAGTGAGTCCTATCCAGTCCATGGAATTAGTGGTATTTCTCTTCTTGTACTTGATTGGTAGAGTTTCTTCACCACGACCTTAATTTGTTCGCATTCGGCCTTTCTTTTGAACCCATAAGAAGATAAACACTACAACATGCTTACAAGGGTCCACCATGGAAGCTTCAACGTGGATCTACTGATTATAAGCCACATTCATAAAGTTTGATTGTATTTTATGGTGTTAGTTCGTCCTTTAGTATGGGATATTGAATTCGGTCGTCTCTACCTTCTTCCATGACATAGAAAGTGATGTTTTCTCCTAATAAAGTACTGCTATTTGGCCTCTCTCCTCTTGGGGCCTCTGCCTTTTTGCCTTTTTTTTCTGTTGCAAACATACCCAATGTGGACAATGTTTTGAGTCTTGCCGGTGGCTGAGACCTATCTCTGACTCAAGTTCCGAGTTAGCAATGCGCAGATATTCACAGGGAGTTGCTCGGTCTATAGTGAAAGGATGATCAGGATACCCCATTCATGGAGCTCGGTGTATCCCTGCTATTGTTTTTGTATGACGGTGGAACTCAAAATGTCTCGCTATTTTATGTCTTCACATAAGGAACTTGACGAGCACAAAGATAAGTGCTCTCCTCTCACATTTCAACCAGGATCGAATAATACTTTGTCCGTCACCATATAATAAATATAAGTACACTCTACTAGTTCATAAAGACATGCCTGTAGAAGTCATGATAATGAGTTCAAGTAATGCATGTGATTGTTATAGCTGCCCATGGATGAACTCCTGAACACTATCACAAAGCATGTGGGCCATCTGCTCAGTCTTTTTTTCTTTCCTTTGGCTTTTGAAATGAGCCGAGTGGTGTCTCTCTCTCTCTCTCTCCCCCACTACCGCCAACACGAGTTAAGTGCAAACCCAGAAATAAGGACCTTTTTCGGTCTCTCTATTTTGCGTGACATTTGTGTACCATGATTTTTCTTTCGTTTTAACTTATTGCATACCGAACAATTAACATTCTCTTTAAATGCAAATATATGACCCAAAGTAAAAAGCAAGTCCTAGGTCATTTCTATTTGTGAGATCCACATGTTAAGATTGACTGGACAAGTTTGAATATCAGCAGGGACTTGTATGACTGCCATGTTTTGCTCTTGAGAACAACTACACGTGTATTGATGCATGTAAACACAAGCACTAAGATATTTGAATATGTGCAACCTAAAAATGGTTGGAAAATACAAAGCAGATCATAGAGTGGCATTCGGTCCTGCCATCACCTGAATTTCAGTGTACCTCGGTGCTATTGAGAAAGACCAACTACTCCCACGAATCCTTGGAATGGTCTAGATAAGAGGCCAGGAACTTCGATGCACTGAACGATGTTAAGTGGTCTGGACATGAATCGGAGCCCATTACAGGAGACTTGAAATTCGAAATTCATTTCTTCGGCATTTGTACAGAAACAAATCAGGGCCAATCACATGGTTAGTCTATCTTCAGTCGGGCTCTCCGACATTAGAAGACCCAAAATAAGGTGTCTGCTCCACATCCCCGAGGAAACAAAAGTGCTCGGCGTCACTTTGATGGTGGTCGGAGCCGTCATAACAATAACACAGCAGCCTTGTGAATGGTCGACGCATCCATCAGAAGCTAATTGGAGATCAGTATAGCTCAGTCTAAACCTGTCCGAGAGCCCATCTTGTAGCATCTGACTACTCAGCATCAAGACATCTCGGCCTCAAAAAGTCCTTTATTTTGGCATAACGTCGGGGTACTCCTCACAGTAGGGGGCATGTCCCGAAGCCATATATTCTAGGAACAAGGGCCTCTCGGGTAGTCGGCCTCAACTATAGTTCTTGGCATTCTCTAAACCCAAAATATTTTGGGTAGATAGCCCAAGTAGAGGTCGGCACAGCCTGTGGACAAAAGTCCTTGCTCGGTCTCCTCTCTTGAATGTCCCTCTGCAACTAGCAACAATCTCATTTCGATCTTGCGGAAAAATGGAGTTCTCTGGATAATCACAAAGTGAACATAACATATGTACACAAGCGAGTATATTTCTTGAAGCCAAGCATAGGCAAATCCAGCAAATCACATCACGATTGTCGTGGTCCATGAAATCCCAATCGGAGTCTCAGCTTCACTTCAATCTTGGGAGTGCTCGACTATCTTCTCTAATGAAGTTGTAAGGAGTAGAAATCGCTATGGGATTTCAGTCCTTCATTCGAAAGATTTCGGTTGACCTGGCGGCACCGAGCCCCAGTAGCCTTTACTTCTCTTCACCAATAGAACCATTTCCTAAGGCAATCCCATATCGGAAGAGAGTCGTCTCCCCCCCTGCCATATAAGTGAACACTTCCTCAAACTTTTTTCCTAAGGTAATCTCACGTACCCCTCCACAGGAAGTGTTCACTTATATGGCATGAGGAAGGCGACCCTCTTCCAATGTGAGATTGACTTAGGAAAAGGTCCTAATGGCGAAGAGAGGTAAAGACTACTGGGGTTCGGTGTCGTCAGGTCAGCTGGAATCCTTCGAGTAGAGGGCTCGTAGCGATTTCTACTCCTTACGAAATCCCGTAGCGATTTCTACTCCTTACAGAAGTTGGTGTATATACCAGGTTCTTTTCTCAAAAAAAAGCCTGAGCAATTGAAAACATTACACCCAAAATTTTAGTTTGCCCAGCACCATTTTAGCTTCTCTTAAAGATTGCGTTGCAAAGACCATTTGCTCAGTCCGTTTGTGCTCGCCTCTATAAGCCCGAACATGCTCTCCACTTGTAACTATAAACTATGGTGTGCTTTAAGCAACCACGAGCAGTTCTCTTAATCAAAGAAGATATTCTACAGCAAGGACTCTCGCACCTTCAGTCTATTATCCAAATGGTGGTTTGGACATGATATTGTATATTTCTCGGCTGTCTGAAGGTGATTGATATATTCGCAAGAAGGATATCAATCATCTAGTGACTTTCGTGGATCCCATATTGCTCTACTTCGGCACTTCAGTGGCTTAAGCGATTGACCTATCAACCGTAAGGGAGTTAATCCATCAAAATGATCGGCCTATCACCCACAAGTGACAGTGGTCAGTCCCACTTCTTGGGCAGGCCAGCGACTTCGGCGCACCAACTCTTTGGGTTTTCCTTAGTCACAAATGGGTGTCATCTTGAATCCCTCTCGGGGTTATCAGTGCCATGCAAATGTAACTTTTGACACATATTACAACTCAATGACGGGGTTCGCGGTGTCTTTGGGTTCTCATCAAGGAGTAGGTCGACACAATCATCAACTCGGAGGATAGTCTACACTGGCCCATAAAGTGTTTGGCATCATCAAGAACATCTCAGCAGAGAAAGCCTCTTTATTTTTTTCAACACATTGGGAGATTGCTCAGAGTGGGGAGGCATGTCCTGAAGCCATATGTTCTCAGAACAAGGGCTTCTCGGGTAGTTGGCCTCAACTATAGTTCTTGGCATCACCAACTATACTGACTCTGGACCAAATGCCTTGTTGGGTCTCCTCTCTTGAATGCCCATTCGTACTTAGCACTCCTTCGGCTTCGGCATCTGTTAAAATGGAATTCTCATAATCTCAGAGAGCGCGATATACTCGAGCAGGGGAACATGGCGTTACCCAGATCTTTGGCATTCAAAAATTTGAACTTGCCTAGAATTGTTTCAGTTTATGTTGAATCTAATACATCACAAATGGGTCTTCTTTCGCTCCGACAAAGGAAATGATAACAACCAACTTTCATGAGGTGCTCGACGAGCTTCGCCAAGGGCTCCAATGATCTCATTCACCTACGATAGGCATCATTACTTGAATCTTGGCTTTTTGGGTGGTCGGCCTCTCCACTCGGCCATTCAAAGACAGTTGGGACGACGGGAGCCACAACGTCAACAAAGAAAACCATCAACATATATGTACTACAAGAATTGACTCATTGCCAATTAATTACTAACAATCTAGCACTCGGGCGCCATATGTGATGGGACTTTTCTGAAATACTCCAAGATGAAGATACGTGTCCTCGACGTCACTAAAAATCCTGTTACTGAGATCACGTACCATCAGCTTACAACTCCCTCACTCCCTCGCCCCCGAGGTACTTGACATATGGTCAAGTACGTTTTACGAATCGACACGTATCCCTCAGTCTGATATGGTACCTCGGTCGCCATGTATAGCTCCCCTCGGCTCGAGATATACCTCTCCTCGGTACCGAGATGTACCCCCATCCAGGATGCCTTTTCTCTGCTCCAGTATAAGCTATTGATGTACAGGTCATTAGCCTAGGCTAGTCTAGGTTAGTTATCATGGTCTCGTCTTACACAATTGGTGTCAGAAGGCACAGGAAGGCAGAGTCCACAGCCAATGAGGGATGGACGCGTGGCAAATTGTGTCACATCAGAGACAGAAAGACCGCATGCTCTTGCTGACACGCGACTTGAGAAAGCAAATATTTAATTACATCATTCCCTTGATGAGATTGCATTCAATGCGGTAAGACTCGGAATTGAAAGGCAATAAATGTCTCTAAGGTTGGGCATTTATTGCATCCTCCCCGAGTGGAGCTCATTGGACAGTCGGCAGCACGATGACACAGCATTGATTGCTCGGGACTCCGAGCAATTAAAGAAAAGAAGACATTCCTCATCAGNCATCCTCCCCGAGAGGAGTACATTGTACCGTCGGCATCCCGATGACCCAGCATTGATTGCTCGGGACCCCGAGCAGTTAAGAAGAGAAGACATTCCTCATCAGAATCAGTGCGCACACTGCCTGTACCTAATGATCACCTACTGACAACACTGACAGTAATCATGAGCTTTTGAGGTATAAATACTCCTCGTAAAAGGCAAGACGGTATACAACAAAAAAACTTTGCTACAATACACACTCAGTGTTTTCTTCTTCCTCTCTCTCTCAAAGACTGACTTGATCGTCGGAGGGGATAAGCCGAAAAACACTCCGGCGCCCTTCTAACTTGTTCTTCTTTGTTCCAGGAACCTCTTTCAGCCTTACTGGATCGTTCTTCCGCTCCCCCAGGGTCTCCCGTTGCCGTTCCAGGTTACCACCGGACCTCGCAGGCTGTTCCAAGCAGCGTGGTTGGTCACTCAACTGGCTCACTCGAGTTCACCAAGGGAGAGATCTGTTCTCGTTTTTTATATTGTGCAGGATCTTGCACGCACAATCTGGCGCCGTCTGTGGGAAACGACTAGTTTTCCTAGTTTTTTCTCTATAAAGAACAGTGACCATGGTGAACACTCGACAGAAAGGGAAAGGCCCCCACCAAAGGAGTCTCGAGTTACAAGCTCCCTGTCATCACGGAGGAAGGGATCACACCGATATGAATAAAAGTGCCTCTACTCGGTCAAGAGGGGTTACCCCTCAAACCAGTATGGGAATCAGGTCAGGGGGATCAGCCCCCTTGGCTCGTCAGCTGGCGGAGGTGATTGAAGAAAAATTTGGCGATAGATTACGTCAGCTGGAAAAGGACAATGTAAACGTCCTAAGCCGGCTCAACGAGTTTGCCGCCTCTGGCGAAGGATCGAGGGATTCATTCCTTTCTCGTGGGCTTCCCGCCCGGGAGGCGGAAACGAAGGATCTAAGAAACCACCTAAACAACAAAGCAGAAAGCTCTAGGGCCCCAAAGCGACCCAGAGCCGGCGAGCATCATCATGACAACCATTCAAGGAAAGCAAGGCCATTGGCCCTGGACGACCTCCGGCGAGGTTTGTCTAGACGGAGGAAGGGAGATGAATCCGAGGAGGACTCAACCCAATCCACACGACGCCCAGGAAATGAGGGGCTTACCGATGAACTCAAGGACTTCAGAAGGCATCCCGTCAGGGAAGAAATTGATCTCAGAGCCCGGTTAGACTCCAGGAGAAAGGGTAAGGCTGTCCAGGATGAGGCCGAGGACGAAGTCATACAAACACCCTTTACGAGGGAGATCGGTGAGATGGAGGTTTCAAGAAAGTTTGTCGTGCCGCGGTTCAAAACTTATGACGGGCGGTCCGATCCCGAAGCCCATGTCAGGCAATACAAGCAGATGATGTCCCTCTATCATTCGGACCAACGGTTTCTCTGTCGAGTGTTTCCAATGAGCTTGGAGGACTCTGCGATGAAGTAGTTCGAGGCGCTTCCCCCAAATAGTATTGGGTCGTGGAAGGAATTGACGAGGCAGTTCCTGGCTCGATTCGTTATGGGGAGTAAACGCCCCAAAGACGTTGGATCATTGCTGACCCTCAAACGTAGGGAATCCGAGACCCTTCGCCAGTATGCCATCCGATACTGGGAAGAGGTTAATGAGGTAGAAGGCTACTCGAAAGTCATGGCAGCGGCGTCTTTCCGGCTTGGCCTGGCGAGGGACACGGACCTGTACCGATCCCTGACCAAGAAAACTCCCTCGANTGTCACCACGGAGGAAGGGATCACACTGACGGGAATAAAAATGCCTCCACTCAGTCAAGAGTGGTTACCCCTCAAACCAGTATGGGAATTAGGTCAGAAGGATCAGCCCCCCTGGCTCGTCAGCTGGCGGAGGTGATCGAGGAAAAGTTTGGTGATAGATTACGACAGCTGGAAAAGAACAATGTAACTGTCCTAAGCCGGCTCAACGAATTTGCCGCCTCCGGCGAAGGGTCGAGGGACTCATTCCTCTCTCGTGGGCTCCCTGCCCGGGAGGCAGAAACGAAGGAT